AATACAGGAGGGGTGTGTAACTTTAGCTAAGCCGGTAATTAGGCTGGCACATCTCGCACCTAGTGTGCCTTGCCAGTGGGGAGCCCTCTCATAATAGACTGACCTCTTGTCTAGAACGCTCATCTTCAAAATCATAAACAAGTATCTGATTGATGCCAATTTATTAGGCCAATTGGATCGCTATTCGTATATGTACGCCGATGTAATCGCCTGTACACCTTAACTCTACTCAGCATGCAGGAGAAGCGGAGGATTAGTACCTGAATGGCTTGCATATGCGTTGTGGGTCTGCAAAGAGGGAGGAGTGCAACGGAGGTAGTAGGCACAGGTTCTGTCGCAGAAGGCATCTGTGGTAAAGCTGAAGACGGATAGAGAGTGAAGGAGTGGCCGCTTGCATTGTGCTGTAGTAAGTGCCTGTAAAAGATAATATACACTGTATGATGGAGAAGGAATGGGCAGGTGGAAAGTGGATGGTGTGCTGAACGACTGATCAGGTAATTCTGTAGTCGGGGTGTCGATCGTAGAGGCCATGTACAATGAAGGTTCATGGAGTTGCGAAGTGTTGCCGTGGAGGGTAAGGGGTTGGGGGTATTGACATGATAGGTACTGTACATAGACGCACTAGGTCCTGCTGAGAAGGTATGGCTGAGGAGATCCGAATAGAGAAAGTCGCCGTAATAGCCTGAAATCATGATGAGACACAAAGCTTAAATACTTGTTGACACGATTGACCTTGCGAAGAGGGTCTGTTCCATACAACGGATCAAAAAGCAAGGTGTCTAATGTGCGGAAGGTCATCTGCTGTTAACTAGTTTGCCTGTAGCTCAGTTCGTAAGTACTTCTGTCATCCATATAGCGTAGAAGGTAGGTCCTTCACATTTTGCAGACCCATTTTCCATTCAAGCGTGTGTTTCTGAACCTATAAGTGACTTCGATTTTCCTAACTCTTGGCTCTTGGATTTCCCCTTTCTTCTATTAATCAATAATATTCACTGCGCTGGCTGGTAAGAGGTCACCAGCAGCGCAGTCAATTTAGGCAAGGTCACCCACAGGCGATCTCACCGGTGTCCCCGCAGGCGATGGCGGAAAGATGCTAAGTGAGGTCAACTTAGCTAAATTGACATTCCCAATACAGGAGAGGTCACGCACTGAGTATCTAACCATTTACCTACGGGTCATAATCACATGTCTCAAGTTTGCCTATGGCTTATACATATCAATAAGCCATGAAAGGGTGCCCGGCAGGTTCTGGTGGCAATCCAGAGCACACTATACACTCGACGTATGGCACTTTCGGAGCGTTTAAAGGCACACCCCGAAATAAAAAAAGAGGGGTTATGCGGTGCAGACTCTAACGACAAGGTAGTAAGCGGTCTAGTAGTGAAGAAAAAAAAGCAGACAAAGCGGTAATTTATTGAAAACCCTGTACGCAGACGAATAGGGGGCAGCCGGCGCAAATCTCGAAACGTACAAAAACGTCATTGGGAGCACGGAACGATTTTTCAGGGATTGGACTCCGGAGTGGGTGAGCTATTTATAGTATCAAGCTGGATTGAGGAAAGTCACCACAACCATAGAGTGCCATGCGGAAGAGAGTGTAGAGAAAAAGAGAAGATCGACGCATTCAAAGGGATTGAGTTCAAGTAGGAGGCGGTCGTTTGGCGCGATCACACTGCAGTTTACGTCTTTTGGCAGGTAATGGTGGGGTCTACCAATGTGGGTAACTCGTCCGAATCGGCGATCTGCAAGGTTTTCGCGAATTGATGGCCTAGATAAGAATGTGAAAGTTGGCTCGGAAGCTATAGGGTTCCCAAGCACGTTGCAATGCACGTACTTACGTATTAGCAGTGTCATATTAAAATACTGGACGAGTTTCCCTAGCCGGAAGACGGTGGTTAACATTCAGTGAGAGAATGATCGTGCCAAGCGACATACACCCAGTTCAAGTTGTCCGTGGACCGTCCTCTATCTGTCTGCGTTGCAGGGTTTCGTAACAGGACCATGCACGAAATTTCAAGATGTCACGTAAGGGCTACTGTATTCAAAGAAGGCACCTGAGCATCAAATGAATGCTAAGCATGCCTTTGGATTGTCAAATAGCCAGTCAACAGCTCTGCGTAGCATATCAGTACCGCACAACATCCACATCTCTTTCCTAGATTTTTTTGGAAGTGCCACACGTGATCAGGAACGGAATTTTTTTTGAATCATCCCACGTTGCTTTCGAGCAAACCGTGAACCATCCCAGAAAGCTTTGTTGCAGAGCGGATAGCACATTTCTGGCGGCGTTGTTAAAAGCTGGTGCCGTGCAAGAAGATCGAAGTGTAGAAGAATCGATACGTATCGATCGGGGGAATCGGTGACCATCCAGTTCTCCGACGCGATTCTCCGATTCTTCACGTGAAAGAAGTCAACTGATTCTGTAGAACTCCGTCCATCCAGTTCTTCAAAAATCGTTTTTAATTTTTAATACCGATTCTCCCATTCGAGGCGTATCTATATTCCAGTCATTGTTTTCGATTCCGATTCTGCCTTTGAGACAGATCTCTTTCCGCTGACTGTTCGATCTATCTATTGTGAATAAACTCGAAATTTACGCGAGTGAAATATCACATCGATATTGCGGCGATGTGCACAAATTGACTTTTATTTCCTAGCTAGTTAAGGACGCAGTCCCTTCACATTGAGTTATTCTAGTTCACTACTTTCAAGATTACTCTCACATGTACCTATATAGCGAAGATGTGAAGAGCGTGACGCGTCACTCGACCTTATTTCCCTCGGGGTTAGTGGGTGTTGCGAGCAGAGTGGCGTACATAGCATCCGCCCGGGACCCAACCCACTAAACAAGGCAGCGGCGCTGCGCGTCAACTCCATCTCTCAGGTTGGCTCGTGTGTTTTTGATTTGACGTTACAGTTTTTCAACAATCGTAGTTATGTCTTTGTCCAGCACAACATAGGGCGACATTTGGCCTAAGAAATGCAGGTTGCAGTTTTGCTATCTATATTTGTAAATAACCTTATAGACTCTATCGATCTACCCAGGTCTCCATTCGAAGTTCCATAGTAAGTTGGCAGACTTCCCTCGTAAGGCAGAGCTCATACTCTGCGTCAGCGACCAGGAAATGTATGGATACCGATCTAGCGATCACTAGCGTATGCCGGCGACTAGGAAAGTATAGATATCGATCCAGGGTGCGCCAATGTTCGTGGTCAATTAGAGCTCAAGCAAAACTGCCCAGGAAGACGCTGTTGTACGCTGGCATACGCTGCCGTACACTGATGCAAAGTATGAACGCAGCCTAACGTACCAGAGAATACTTGGCTATTTTGCGCGCAAGTCTGTCCCTTTGGGCGAGTGATATATGGCAAACGGGTAGTCGGGCTAGTCACTTACAGGTTAGTATTTTTCTATTGGAGAAATCGGCGTCACTGTAGTTGATCAAGTCCACTCCTCTGCGCCCAAGAGGTTACGTGACACTGGAACTTTTGGTGTGGGTCATGGCGCGAAAGACCAGAGCGCAGTGAAATAGAGGAATGCGACTGCCAAGGCATCGAAACAGGCGAAAAAAGATGTAGCTAGGGGCTGAGCTTGATCAGTGGACGGTACTCCAGACTGTGTAAGGTCACAGCGGTCTTAGCATGTCATGTGCCGACGTGAGAGCGCAAAGAGGAACAGAAGGGTGACGTGATTATAGTGTAGTTCGGTGCGGACGGTTGGGCGTGTCAGGCGGGATGAGTTTGGCGGTGCCAAACCCGTTCTCCACCAGTTGTTAAAGCGAGCAAATGATATGACTGTATCATATCGTTCGTATTACTCGTTTTCTACCACTTTTTGTCGCATGCGCGCTTCAACAAGAAGGCAGAGAACGGCTTTGACGGGGTGACACACTCATACTGCCTGACACGCCCAACCGTCCGCAGCGAACTAGAGTGTAGAAGACTGAATTCGAGCTGACCGTAGACCCTCCTTAAGACGAGGCCGCGCGCGAACTCTTGTCGCAAGGCTGACGTTTGAGGAAGAAAGGATCACCTCGACTTGCCGTGGGGCCCCTCCAACTATACATGTTGCGTCGAGCAAACTACAGAAGCATGGAGAATGGAAGCACCTATAGAAATCCGTCTTTCCATACATTGTATGGGCGCAGTTTGTCGACGGGGGGGGGGGCATTCTGCTTTCCATAGATGTGCCGACCCATCTAGGTAGCCTTTTCTCGAGTTGACACGTTTTAGGATGGTGGCTAGACGATCTTGCACCAGCTTCACAAGGGTTCACAAGTTTTACCAGGGTGAGATTTGTAAACCGGAACTAGGGAAGCAATGGTAGTACAAAATGCCCCCCCCCCCGTCGACAAACAGCGCCCATCGTATGAATAAAATCTCATTTGTATACGTCCAGTGCCGGCTGCAAACTCATAATCGTGGCAGAAACCCGTGCAGGTCAGAAAAAGAAAGGGGTGGGTTACAGAGCCTCGGTCTTTCGCTGCGAGGGTCCAGAGGTACTTGCTCATTGTATCTCGAGCATTATAAGTGAGGAAAGTAGATAAGCTAGAAGGAAAGAAGAAAAAAGGAAGAAAATGAAGGAAGCCGAAGGCTCCGCGGTTGATAGATATCGTGGGACGGGCGGGTGAAGGAAAATTTTCATCCACGTTTCATTTGAAAGCGGCGCGAAGCAGAAAGTCGGTTTTCTGCCGCTGTCTACATCTTGCTTTTCATTCGCTCTTCTTGGGATATCTGTCAACCACGAAAGCTCCCTTCCTTCTTCCTTACTTTTTCCACTTTTCCTTCCTTCTTATCTTCTCTACATTTCTTTCCCTCCTTTAAATGCTCGCTTTAACGACGTGACGATAAAGAAACCTCGTAAAATCACAACAAGAGAAAGTGCGGATGACTGATGTACCTGTCTCCTTTCTCACTCATATCACCGGGGATTTATCCCTCAGATGTGTGCAGTCCTTCTTTAAAAGCATAATTGCCGTAATGATTTAGGTTTTGTAGTCATGTCCGTGCTATCCGGAATTGCCAGACTACTCAACCCTTTCGCTTGGCTGCGGAGCAGCAAAAAAGTGGAGCAGACTGCACAACATGAATACGAGTTCCAAGAGGAAGAGGTAAGGGTGATGCAAATTAGAAAATGTTTGCTTGGTAATCTGAAATATTGCAAGGAACCCGAACCAATCGAAGAGGCTCCATCAGCACAGTCTCTCTCAGAAAGTGATGTGGAAAATCACCTCGCAGAAGGCGATTCCTCTGATATCCATAGCAACAAGACGGTAGGCCCTCTTTTTATTATAGGTCTCAACATAGTTCTAGGAGGGGGACCACTTTGGCCGCGCCACTGTAGGAAGGGTCGTCAGGGTACAGCATGGGGATGTGTCAAATGGCGGTGTGG